AAATAAACATTTGAAATATATGAGTTTGTATGTAATGTATGAATATAATATACAAGTTTCACTTTTTAAATGGAATTACTGAAATAAATCTACTTTTTCATGATATTCTAATTTTATGACCAGCACCTTTATAAGGGCTGTTTCTGTGTTTGTGTAATGAATGGTTTTTATTTCTCTGGATCACCTAAAATGCAATTTATTTTGCTTTTTTTTCTCCAGAAACAGGAAGTAAACATGAATACTCCTTCCACTGACAGGAAGTCCCAAGTGGATTACGGTGTACAGATCCGCTTCATCAAAGACCTTCAYGACACGGGTGGAGGTTACGTTGAAAAGGCCAGAGTCACCAATGGCACAAGTCCTGCCAGCAAATATGGCGTGGCCGTGCGGGTTCAGGGCATCTCTGGGCAGCCCTACGTGGTTCTAAAAGATGGACAGAAAGGTGACTCCTATGGAGTTCAGCTGACCAATCCAAATCCCCCTCCCACCACCCCCACCTTAGAGCCAACTTCACCCTTCAACAGCGTCCCCAAACTTAAAAAAGAGCCTGCAGATTTTGCCAAGCCCTTCAGCCCACCTGTAAACTCCTCGCGCTCCCCTGTTTCCCCGTCCACAGAGGATGAGATTGGGGAAATTTTTGGGAGCCCACTTCGAAGACCTCCGGGGGATGGTCAGGCGGGAACACAAGGAGAGGAGGAAGATGGARCTGGGACGAAACGAGTGGTGGAGAGGTCGAAATCGGAACCCAAATTCTCAGCGATGGTCAGCGAAAATGAGAGAAAACGAGAGGATGAATATAACGAAGCCGGACTGAAACCTGTCAAATTAAACGCTGCGGGACCCAGAGGGTTTAATCAGACCGCTTCTGGTTTCACCAACTCTTTAGGGAGGTACAGTGAGAAGAAACCAAGCACAGGTCCTCCTCCACAACCCTTCCCAGATCCTCCTCCTCCTCCTTCAGCACTGACCAACGTTGAGCCTGCCCAAACAATCGTCACAGACTCACTGGCTCCGATCAACAAACTCATCAGTAAGTTCAACACCAGCTCGCCGGGCAGCGCCCCACAGTCCAGAGGCCGCTCCGGAGCACGGCAGCGGCTCAGGTTTGATGAGCGGAGGAGATCCAGAAGCCTCGATGCCCGAAAAGATGCACAGCCAGAAATGACCTCTCCTGCATCCCCCACTCTAAACCCCTACGCTGCTCCTTTAACCGCCTCCTCCAGCTTATTGGTATCTTCTGCTCCAGGAGCTGGGAGCCTGGGACAGAGTCCTGCATCTGCTGCCAAGGTGATGGCACCAAAYGCTCCCAGGACAAGTTTCAAGTCACCAGAGAAGTTTGTTGCTAAGGCTAACCCTCCAGCTATTGCAAAAAAGCCTGTAAGTACCAACTGCTGGAAACTATTAGGCACCATGTAGGTACTGATATGTTTTATGTTTTAAAAACTTTGGATGTTCTCCCTTTTTTGAAGGAAACACTTTCAAGGAGTTCAAGTCAAAGCACAGAGGTCAATAATGGGGAAGAGGCTCAAATCAAGCAGGCTATTTACAACATCCTCAAAGATGGGTGGGTGAAAATACAATCATGTTTAAAATTTTCACATTTAATTTTAAAAATCTAATTTTGATGTCAATTCATCAGCACCAGGGAGAGTGAAGGAGCCCTTCAAAGAAAAGTCAGCCTTGTCTATGAAACCACCGACAAAATAAAGGTACGATCAAGATGTATATCTTTTGTTGGTTGTGTACCACAAATGTCAGGGATTTGGATGTTTGTTTTTGCATTAATCATTTAAGTTGGTCACCTTTTACATCTGTTGGGGTGTTTATTGATGACTGTCCAATGGAAACTATTAAAAAAGCTTGTGATTTAACCCTGTAAAACTTAGTATCAAGCAAGATGAGATCCTAAAACAGAAATGTTAAACTCCTCTTCACTGAGGGCCAATTGAGCATTATGGGGTCCCTCAAAGGGCCAATTTTAATTAACTTTGTTTTGTGTTTAACTGCGATTAAACACGAAACATCACGTTTCTCATTGCTATGGCCAAGCACTGCTAACAAACAACTGAGCTCTTTGTGGTATTTCATGCATAGAAACAGTGTTTTAACAAGTCCTCTTATAAACATTGAAAAAGTGTACGACTGACTAAATATAAAATAAATAATACAGAAATACTACTAAAAGTAAGAGTTTTACTCTTTTTAGTTGTGGTGAGTAGCTGCCCTCTTTAATTCTGAACTTTYCCACTTTCCAACAGGGAATTCCCACCAGAAGGGCATTCCAGATCAAATTTATGACTAGTAAGTGGGAAATTCCCACTTCCCAGAACAACTGGACCGCACCAAAAGTAGCCAATGAAAATGCAGCAAAATAGAGATTTTACACAGCAACCTTCACAGATTCCCTGCTACTTCTGAACCCTGTGCACCTTCACCCAGTGGTGGGATGTGGCCTTTTTGTGGGTAAAATAATCAACATGCATTATGGAGATATAGTTTATGGTCAATGCTGGCTTTAAAGCAGCATACAAATATTTTAAGACATTAATACACCTTTTGAAGCTCTTACAGCCACATAAAATACCGCGGTGGGCCACATTTGTCCCACGGGCCTTGCGTTTGACACACTCCCCCTAAAACAAGCAAGAAGCTAATAAGACAATACAGTGAAATTTGCAGACTTGTTTCTTTTTACAGACCGTGCAGCGAAATGAAACAATGTTCAGGCCATTCTAATTTACGGTCATGCCCTGCCAGGTATAATGGAGTATGTGAGGTTAGGATGCTGAGGGGTTGCGTTCCCTTTAGAGAAGATCGTGCATATAAGCCAACAGATGGTTGGCAGACAGCCGTGTTTTGTTAGCGTAAGAAGTTTCTGTTTCATTCAATTTGTCTCCAAGGGTTCTCCTTTCACAGGCTGAAAAAGGAGAAATTTAAGGAACATGCTGACTACTCCTGTTAGTTTTGTGCCAAGTTTGGCTCCTTTGTGCCAATTTAAACTGTGCTACATTTATGAGAACATGTGCACTTAAAAAATAGCATCTGTTTGCATAAATCTGCATACAGATGTTATTCCTTTGTGTCCTTACCCCCTCTATATTACACGCACTTGATTATGTATGATACCTTGTTATGTGTCTGTGTTTTGCGGCTGTGGATCCTTGTGAATTATTTGCTCGTCTTGTCTCTTGGCAACGACGCACCTGCAGAAGAAAGCTCCGTGTGATGAGGGCTCAGTCATTGAGAGCCATCAATAATTAAGTTGGAGTGGAACCCTGCACCAGCTGGGGGTTGGCTTGCAGGATGGGATGGATCCTTTTCTGGAGAGGGTCTTGTTGTACAAAACCTCCTTGTTTGTCATATAATCTGCTTTTAATAGATTTAGACGTTGCACGTTCTTCAGAAGCAATGGTAAAATTAAGAAATAATAAAGAGGATTAAATATTTTCCTTTGCATATTGACCTCTTTATTCCAAAACATTCATTTTGTTTGTATGAAAACATGACATTAAACGAAAGCTGTCACCAGTGGGTGTGGCCATTTTCTATATCTTTGTGCTGACATAGACTTTGTGTATTTTACAAGTACTGATTTATAYGTGACATGTGAAGGCACATTAATGTGATTGATTGCAACACTCCAGTCAATCTAATGTCAAAGGAAGAGTGATTTTACTGTCAGCCTGTCTGTGTCCCAGTTTTACTGAGAATCAGATACTGGTGTGTTGGATAATCTGAGTCTAGTTGATCAATGCTTGTTTGAATAGAGTATAAAGCCCAAAAATATCACTTTAGTTTGCTGCAGAAAAAGAGAAAATGTTTTGCAATCTTCTAGTTTTTAAAGGAAATGTTCAACCAATCTTAAAGCTGTGGGGAACTTACCTGGTCAAAGTAAWCCTAAAAGAAGTTTCAAAATTAAATAAATTAAGGCACTGGGAAATTAATGGTACATTTTGCCAGGAGGCACCTGATGGTTGAGCTTAAAAGTGCACCGAAAACATAAATAACCATTTCATCATAAATCTGGAGATACCAGATTAGCTTTAAATTCTAATTCTTATTCAACTCCTATCTCTGTTGCTTGCGCTGTTTGGGTAACACACAAGAGCAGCTGATTCAGTTTATACAGAGCTTATCCTTATTCCCACTTATGTTATCTTCTGTTAATTATCTCGTCTCAGAGAGCGACTGAAATGTCCCAACATGAGATTATCTGCAAACTGTCCTTAAGGGGACGAGAAGTGAAACAAATTTGTGTAAAATACATCTTTGTAATCCATCCCTGATAATAAAAATCCGAAGTCCTCTGAGAAGCGTAAACAACTGCGAGCCTTGCTTTGTTTTTCTGTGTGTGTGTGTGTGTGTGTGTGTGTGTGTGTGTGCGCGTCCCTGTAATGATTGTGTGGGTGGATGAGAGAGGGGTTTTAGGGGCAGACTGTGCCTATGCTTCCTTTTCACTGAAGTCTTTTTTTTTTCTTCAGAGCAGGGTTAGAAAGATGTGGGCGAAGAACAAGCTGCTGCTTCTCTGGCTCTGCTCCCCTGCAGCCTGTCAGAGAAGTTGTAGGGAGATCTCTATTCTTGACGKTTTTTTTGAACATGCTGGAAGGGCTCATTCTCCCAAAGTTTTTTATTTTATTTTTTGACTGTCAGAAAATAGGTCAGCTAATCCAAGCCAATTTTAATAGTT